AGGTCAAAAGCTAGAGCTGCAAAGGAACCTGGGAGCAAGGAGAGGGAAGTGATTGCTTAATGGGTGTAGGGTTTCTGCTGGGGGGATGAAAACACGTGGAAACACGGTAATGGTGGCATAGTGTGGTGAAAGCAATGAATGCCACTGGACTCTGCACACTTCCAAAGGGCTAAAACGGCCAGTTTTGTGCCACATATATTTTGTCATTCAAGAAACTCATTCTCATTCTGCTGATGGTGGTTCGAACCCACGCCATGGCTCCACATGAGAAAGACCTGGCTATCGACTGTACGAGACCAGAAAGCAACATTTGCCCCAAAGGTTAAGAGAGGCAGGGAACAAGAAAAATGGCAATGGGGAGCCCAGGATAAATGAATGGGGATAGCAATGATCTACTGTGAGGACCACAACCAATGTCACGGAATGATCTGCGTTACCAATCATTGAATGGGAAACTAGCTTGATGTGACAGCTTCTACCTAAAGCAAAATAAAATGCCTCTATGTGGCAGCTCTTCTCTGTCATACAGAATCGCTGAGTCCAAATTGACTCAACAGCAACAACAATTTGTATATGTGTGTGTGTATATGTATACACACACCACCACCACCCGTCTGTCAGTTTGTTGTACTGTGGTGGCTTGTGAGTTGCTGTGATTCTGAAAGCTATGCCACCAGTATTTTAAATACCAGCAGGGTCACCCATGATGTACAGGTTTCAGATGAGCTTCCAGACGAAGACAAACTAGGAAGAAGGAGTGACAAACTTCTTCCAAATATTAGTCACTGAAAACCTTATGAACAGCAGAGAAACACTGTCAGATACAGTGTTGGAAAATGAGCCCATTCCAAAGAGAGGTGACCCAACAGAATGTGGAAATTATCGGACAATCTCTTTGATATCCCATGCAAGTAAAGTTTTACTAAAGCTAATACAGAAACAGCCACAAGCATACATTGACAGAGAACTTCCAGAGGTTCAAGCCAGATTCAGAAGAGGCTGTGGAACGAGGGATATCATTGCTGACATCAGATGGATCTTTGCTGAAAGCAGAGACTATCACAAAGATGTTTACCTGTGCTTTATTGACTACACAAAGGCTTTCAATTGTGTGGATCATGACAAGATATGGACAACATTGTGAAGTATGAGTATTCGGGAACACTTAATTGTACTCATGAGGAATCTGTATCTGGACCAAGAGGCAGCTGTTCAAACAGAACATGGGAACACTGAATGGTTTAAAATTAAGAAAGGTGTGTGACAGGGTTGTATTCTTTCATCATACATATTCAACCTGTATGCTGAGCAAGTAATCTGAGAAGCTGGGTTCTATGAAGAAAAATGTGGCATCAGGATTGGAGGAAGACTCATTAACAACCTGTGATACGCAGATGATGCAACCTTGCTTGCTGAAAGCAAAGAGGACTTAAAAAATTTACTGATGAAAATCAAAGAGCACAGCCTTCGGTATGGATTATATCACAATGTAAAGAAAACAAAAATCCTCACCACTGGACCAATAAACAACATTCTTAACAACGGAGAAAAGATTGAAGTTGTCAAGGACTTCATTCTTCTTAGATCAACTGTAAACACTTACAGAAGCAGCAGTCAAGAAATCAAATGACGTATTGCATTAGGCAAATTGGCTGCACAAGACCTTTTTAAAGTGAAGAGCAAAGATGTCAGCTTAAGGACTAAGGTGTGCCTGGATCCAAGCCATGGTGTTTTCAATAACCTCATATGTATGTGAAAGCTGGACAGTGAATAAGGAAGACCGTAGAAGAATTGATGCTTTTGAGTTATGGTGTTGGAGGAGAATATTGAAAGTGCCAAGGGCTGCCAAAAGAACCAATAGATCCGTTTTGGAAGAAGTGCAGCCAGAGTGCTCCTTGGAGGCCAAGAGGACCAAACTTCGTCTCTTCATACTTCGGACATATAGTCAGGAGAGACCAGTCACTGGAGAAGGGTATCATGTTTGGTAAGGTGGAGGGTCAGAGAAATAGAGGAAGACCCCCAATGAGATGGACTGGCCAAATGGCAGCATCGATGGACTCAAACGTGGCAACAGTAGTGAGATTGGCCTAGGATCGGGCAGTGTTTCATTCTGCTGTGCATAAGGTTGCTATGAGTCAGTACCGACTCAATGGCACCTAACAACAACAACAACACACACACATATGTTGTTGTTAAGTGCCATCGAGTCAGTTCTGACTCACAGTGACCCTGTACAGGATTTCCGTTGAGTGGCTGGTGGATTTGAACTGCTGACCTTGTGTTTAAGCAGTCTAGTGCTTATCCTACAGCACCACATGAGGATTCCATATATATTTGTTATTGTTGTTAAGTGTCATCGAGTTGGTTCTGACTCATAGCGACTCCATGTACAACAGAACGAAATACGGCCCAGTCCTGCGCCATCTTCACAACTGTTGTTATGCTGGAGCGCAGTGCTGGTGTCTTCTTGTTTTTCACTGACCTTCTACTTTACCAAGCATGATATCCTTCTCCAGGGACTGGTCCCTCCTGATAGTATGTCCAAAGTATGAGAGACAAAGTCTCACCAATCTGCCTTCTAAGGAGCACTCTTGGCTGAACTTCCAACACAGACCTGTTAGTTGTTCTGGCGATTTGCAGTCCTTTCAATATTCTTCTCCAACACCACAACTCAAATGCATCAATTCTTCTACGATCGCCTTTATTCATCATCCAACTTACACATGCATATGAGACTGCTGAAAATACCATGACTTGGGTCAGGCACATTTTAGTCCTCAAACTGACATATTTGCTCTTCGATACTTTAAAGAAGACTTGTGCGGCAGATTTGCCTAATGCAATATGGCATTTGATTTCTTGACTGCTGCTTCCGTGAGTGTTGATGGTTGATCTGAGCAAAATGAAGTCTTTCACAACTTCAGTCTTTTCTCCATTATCATGATGTTATTTATGGTTCCCGTGGTGAGGATTTTTTATTTCTTTATAAGTAGATGCAATCTGTACTAAAGGCTCTAATCTTTGATCTTCATCAGTAAGTATTTTAAGTCCTCTATTTCAGCAAGTAAGGTTGTATCATCTGCACATCACAGTTTGTCAATGAGTCTTCCTCCAATCCTGATGCCATGTTTTTCTTTATTCATATAATCCAGCTTCTTGGATTATTTGCTCAGCATGCAGATTGGATAAAAATGGTAAAAGGATCCAAACCTTACACACACTTTTCTAGATTTTAAACCATCCAGTGTTCTCTTGTTCTGTTTGAACAACTGACTCTTGATCTATATACAGATTCCTGATGAGCACAATGAAATGTTCTGGAATATTCATTCTTCACAATATTATCCATAGCTGGTGATGATCCATATATATATATATATACACATTTCTTTGTTTCCTGAAAGAGTCTTCTTCAGTAGTTTCCTGAGCCAGTATGGACACAAATCACGGTCTGTCAGACCCTACACTCAGGATGCCAGTCACCCCAATGGTATGGCCACCATGGGAGCCAAGCACAACTGAGTGATCCAGAAATTCATACTCTCGATCCTGGGTCACCATATTCCCCTTCACACCAAATGCTAACAGTCAAAACCACCTACCAACTGAATGTAGGCTGTCCCCGACATACAAAGTATCTGTTACGGCGCACCACACTTAGCACCACCTGTGGAGTTCTTGTTTTTTGGTACATCGTAATGTTAGCAATATGTTGCAGCTCATTGTTTGCTGTTGTTATTCTTTGATATTCAAAAACAAAGAAAAATAAACAAACAAACAAAGTGGTACTCAACTTATGTCGAAACCAACTTAGGATAGAGTCATGGTTAGGACAGAAGCCCACAGTAAATTAGGGCTGACCTATATGAAGGGGCTTCAAAAATCTTGTGGAAAAATGAACTTTAAAGGTAATGGAATTTTCCTATGAACTTTCCGAAGCCCCCTCATGTAGACTATCTTCATAAGCCATAAATGGAAGGGGAGGGCTGGCATTTAAATACCACTTAATCAGAGAACTCTCATTCTAGAAGGATTTATCTTCTGTGTGTTGTTGTCTCATGCTGTCAGGTCCGTTTGGACTTACAGCGACCCCGTGTGACAGGGCAGAAGTGGGCTGTGAGCTTTAAGGGGGCACACTGCCAGGTCTTTCTCCTGTGGAGCTGCTGACAGGTTCAAAACAAATCACTATTCTTTTCGGTTAGTAGCCCAGACTTTAATCAGACTTTAACCAGTATGCCACCTGGGCTCCTGACCAGTTACTTAAAAAAAAAAAAAAATGGCAAGGCCTGATTTCATCTTTAGATTCCACCCATCTATCTCCTTTTCTTTAAAATCAGTGTTGCCTTCCCGCTGCTGCTCGATCACACAGACCCTTTAAAACACGCGTTTGCTGCTTGGCCAGAATTGTCAGAATAACCACAGATCAGGCGGTAAGAGCAGAGGGAACATTTTACTCCACCCCTCATTCCACGTGTCATATGAAATATATTAATCTTAACAACAAACAGTATGAATACAGTACTCAGTGGTGTGGAGTAAACAGTGAGTCCCGATTGCGAAATCAGAGGTTCTTAAAAAAAAAAATGGGAGTGGACGTGGTCCAGCCCAGGCACAGTTTTTTGGTGGGTCACACTGGGCAGGAAAAGCAGCCGTAAAAAAATAGACAGGGTAATTCATTGTTCCACCTTGCAGATCAGTAGACCCTTCATTTAGTTTTAAAGTCAACAGCAAAAAAATCAAAGCAAAAACAAACCAGGTGCCACTGAATGGATTCTGGCTCATGAGGACCTGTGTGTGCAGAGTAGAACTGCTCCATCAGGTTTTTGGTGGCTGCAATCTTTTGGAAGCAGGTCACCAGGCCTTTCTTTCTGGGTACCTTCAGGTCGGTGAGAATGGCCAACCAGGCTGGGAGCTGAGTGCTTCACTGACTGTGCCACCTGTGGGCTCCTGACACAAGTGTGCGTTTTGGGCCTTCAGGAGCTTCCACCAATGCCATTCCATCAGTCTTGAAGGAGGTTTTCTGGCTTGGGGTAGCCGAAGAGGACGAAGTCGGCTTCGTAGAGTTTGTACAGTTGCTGCCTCCAGGCCAGGGGGATCCTGGCGAACCAGTCCTCCTCCCAGCTGCTGGCGGTCCTGTTGCGGTAGCTGGGGGGGAAGTGGAGGAGCCGGTCCACCTGGAGGAGCCGCAGCAGCTGGGCGGCATCTTGGTCCAGCGTCTCCAGCTTGCCCACAAAGTCATAGTCAATCTGGCAGGGGTGGCAGAGGCGGTACACCTGCCTCCAGTGCTCATTGAAGGGTGCCAGCCTCTCAGTGCGTGGGTCCAGCAGGTACTGGATGAAGTTGGTGAAGGACACCTTCAGGCCAGCGCTGAAGGCCTGGCTGACAGAAGTGGGCAGGCTGGTGAGGTTGGAGTACATCTTCAGCATGGGCATGGCGAACTTGCGGTAGAACTCATCATTCTCCAGCTCAAACTTGCTGCGGAAGGCGGAGATGAGGCGGACGAAGGGGTCCCGCACGAAGAGGAACTTGGTGTACTTCTTCAGCTTGACTTTCATGAGGTGGCGAGAGAACTTGCCATAGCGGCGCCAAAACTTGTTGAAGGTCAGGTGGGTGCTAGAGTTATGGACATGTTCACGGGGAATGTCCAGGGGGTCCTGGTAGGGAGCTCCCTGGTCTAGCAGGCTTTCACTCAGGACGATCATCACACGCTTCCAGTTGGTGCAGGCCACCTTGGGCACATAGCAGTAGATGACCCCATGCCGGTCATCCACGATGAGGTGGTTCAGCTCGTAGTTGGGGATGTCGTCGAAGGAACGTTCCTTGGTGGGGAAGACAAAGCTGGAGTTGGCACAGAAGTCCCTGAGCACACGCCGTCTCTCGGCCTGCAGCCTGTCCTGGTCGGGCCTCTGCTTGGCATCATGGGGGGACCAGTCATAGCCCCTCACGTTCTCCTCCATGTTGCTCAGAGCAGGCTTGTTGGAGGCTGGTCGTGGGGGCGGCTCAGTCTGCTTTCTGGAAGGGTCATTCTGTGTCAGGCCCGAGCTAAGGAGCTTATCCAGAAACTCATCAACATCTGATGTGAAGTCCTTTCCCTCCTGAGGCTGGGCTGTGGGTAGTGGCTCTGGGAGGTGTGGCCTGGAGAGCGAGGTGTGCAGGTAGAAGTGGGCGGTGCCCACATTGTCCCAGTATACAATGATGAGAAGGATCATGAAGACGGAGCCCAGGGCCAGCCAGAGCCGGCAGGGCCTTGCTTTCACCATCCTGCCAGACACACAGGCACAACCGTCCACCTGGGCCTTCAGTCCAGGACGGCTGTGGGTGGACACTCACTCCAGGCAAGGCTGCGAGTGGGCCCTCACTCCAGACCCGGCAGCGGATGGGCCCTCACTCCAGGCTGGGCTGTGTGGGGCATGGTGCTCCAAGGAACCTAGGAAGGCAACAAGAAAGGAGAGGAGACTTCAGCCTCGGGGTCTCAGGTCCTTGCTCCTGATAAGCTGTGTGGAAGGGCCCTAGGGCTGTGGCTGAGAAGAAGGGACCCTGTCAGTGCTCAGGGGTTCAGGGAGGCAAAAGAGGATGGAAGCAGTCGTGGTGTCACAGGGGCTAAGTGCTGGACTGCTAACTTCAAAGTCTGCGGTTCAAACCCACCAGCTGCTCCTCGCGAGAAAGATAGGCGATCTGCTCTGTAGAGATGACAGGCTGGGAAACCCTATGGAGCAGTTGTACTTGGTCCTACAGAGTTGTGAATTGGCATGGACTCAGGTGGAGAATGATGCAGAGATGCAGAGAGGCACAAGGTCACATGAGAGGGAAGGTTAAAACTTAGCAGGAGCTCAAGTTCATACAAATGCTAATGATGCCCTGCCCCCCTCTCCATACACCTCTCACCTATACCTATGCCCCCTCACTGCTCTGCAGGCACCAATGGACCTGGTACTGGCTCCGTGCTCATTCCAGGAATCCAATGGCCTGTTAGTGTTCTCTAGCCACTGCTGCGGCTTTTGTGTATTCTTTTTCAAAAGCTTTATACTGTGATTTCAGTGAAGGGTTACAGAGCCAATCAATCTCTCTCATCCAACAGCTCATACACATTGTGTTTCATGATCCTGACTACAACCCCCACCATACAGCTGCGGTCTTCCCACTTCCTCCCTGTGCTTCCTCCTCCTGTCCCATCCTTCTGCCTTCTGAGCTTGCCCTCAAATGCTGCCTGTTTGCTCATGGATGGTTGATGCCTCTAAGGGAGTGTGGGTCTCCCTGGTGTGACTGTTTACTTTATAGGCTGATTGTTTGGGTTTGCATTATTCTTTTTTTTTTTTTCTAATTGAGAAACTAGCAAGTGCTTATAGCAAATGGGTCATGGTGCAGAAGGTGGCGTGGCTTTCCTCAGGGACAGTGCAGGCATGGTGACCAGTCAGGGATGAGAGTCCAGCTACTTAGACTGGGACAAGTGAGAGACTTCCAGGCTCCATGGAGTGCTCTGGGGATCGCTGAGCACTGGCCCCTGGATCAAAGATGGGATGCTGCCTGAACCTCAAACGTGAGGGTGAGGTAGGATGAGTCCAGAGGGCCAGCCTGTTGAGGGTGGGTCCTATTCACAGGCAGGAGTGGTTAGCAGGCCCAGCCAGCTCAGGAGCCAGGGCAGGCAGTCACCGTGAGCAAAGGGGTACAGTCCGTGATGACAGGTTTGTACGACTTTCACCACCAGATGCTGTCAACACTGAAAAGGCCAAAGGAAGCCACCCTGGGCCTAGTCCCAGTCTCCCCAGTGCCACTTCTGTTCCAGGGACTCTGCTAAGTACCAAGGGCATTGTAGAAAATGAGATACAATCTTTGACCAACTATGGAGGTGTTACTTTTGTTGTTTAGTGCCATGGAGTCAGTTCTAACTCACAACAACCCTGATTCAGGGTTTCTGAGGCTTTAAATCTTTGCAGAAGCAAAAAGTCTCAATCTTTCTCCTGCAGAGAGGCTGGTGGACTCAAACAGTGGACCTTGTGATTCTCTATCCACCACAGCACTCCCAACTATTGAAATAAAGAATGCTCACTGAAGTCTTGGTGTGGTGCTGTAGGATAAGCACTGGACTACAAGTCTGTTTGAACTGCAAGGTTGGCGATTCAAAGTTGCCAGCTGCTCCTTGAGAATCCTATACAGGGTCACTGTGAGTCGTAACTGACTTGATGGTACTTAACAACAACCAAATTAGGTTCAGATAACCTAATTTGGTTGTTAGTAGTGCCAGCTCGAAGATCAGGTGACAATTTGGTACCTGGTACAGGAGGCACTCCACACCCCATACCTCTCTAGAGCTCCAGAAAACAAGGATGGCCACTACCCTGGTCCAGAGGTCAGGGCTCTTTCCTCCCTGTACTGACCAGAACTCCATTACACATCCTTTCAGGGGCAGGGGAATCAAAGGCCAATGCACACAACCACATTCAGTCAGCAATACCTGATGACTTGAAGCCTTCTGGAAAAGTCCAGTGGCCTGCACCCTGTTTTTGGCATGCATATCTGAACCCACTTATGGTTCCCCAGCAGGGCCACATCTCACCTCACCTCCTCCCGAGGTTGGCACCTGGACCCCACATCTCCCAGTGAAGGGGGTAGCTGCAGGGGTGATCATATGGATTACATCACGGCTCAGGTGTCCACAGGCAGCCACATGGCTTACGTATGCTGCTGAAGACAACACTCAGAAAACGAGGTCAGCCCCAAAAGAGAATAAACACTGATGACCTCAAGTAGCCAGAACCCGGACAAGACTGCATGCAGGACACAGGTGACCTCTGTCATGGAGACGTCTACATAGGAACAGACGGACCGCCTCTTTGGAATGCTCCAGAACAGAGTCTCATTGCTTTTCTTCGCAGGCTAAGTGCTTCTCTGAGTCTGTACTTCTCAGATGCATTCAGCTCTACTCTGAGAAGGCACTGCACCTGGCACATAATACCTTCTCATGAAATGTGCCTAAATGTCTGTGAGGTGGCAATCTGGATGTGTTCTCCATCCACATCTGCCCTTGTCCTCCTAAGTGAGAACATGGGAGGGGTTGAGGTGCCAGCTGGCAGAACAATGTTTCACGGTCATCGCTGCCCTCAGCCCGTGTATCCTGAGCCCCACCAGGGAAACACCACCCTCTGCCAGTCCATACCACTGCTCCACATAGATGCAATTCTTTAATACATTGAACTACATAAGTATTATAAAAGCATTACTGCTGTCTTAGGCTGGGCTCTCCAGTGAGTGCAAAACCAGGAATATACACACACATACAGAGAATTATTTCAAAGAAATGGCTCACACAGTTTGGGAAGCTGGCAAATCCCAAATACATGGGTCAGGAGGTAAGCTGGAGACATCTCCTGGAGACTCATGTGGTTGATGGGACCCACAAACCCCTCTCGAAGGTCAGACAACAGGCTGCTGGTTTACATCCCAAGAACCGTAGGTCAGAGGATGGTAAGTCAGTTACAGGATAGAGTGTGAGGTTGTTTGCCAGAACATCCGTATATACTGGCTGCAGGCCACATCCCTAAAGAAATGCCCCTTACATCAGATTGCAAAACAGAAAATAATTCCAAAGTACTGAGACTCATGGCTGAGCCAACATGACATTAACATTAACTATCACAAAAGTCAAGGAGCTCTGATAACATAGTGGTTACGAATCGGGCTGGTAACCTCAGGGTCAGTAGTTCGAAACTACGAGCTATTCCATGGGAGAAAGATGAGGCTTTCTGCTCCCATAAAGATTTACAGCCTCGGAAACCCTGAATAGGGTCGCTATGAATGAGAACTGACTCCACGGCACATAACCACCACCACCACCACCATCACAAATGTTACTTCAAAAACACTGAGCTATATCAGGTGCATTTTTCTGGTCCTTACAAACAACACAGCTGGTATCTCAGCTCAGTCCCCTTGAGCCTGTTCAAGGGTGTGTGTGGGAAAAGAACAAATACATTGTTAATGTTTTTAAGATGTTCTCACAGCTATACTCACACAATTTTGTAGTCTATTTTAAAATTAGAGCCTAAGTACCCCCCATGTTGCTTGCTGAAAGTAAAGAGGGCTTGCTTGAAGTCCTTACTGATGAAGATCAAAGACTACAGTCTCCACATACAGAAAACAAAAATCGCCACAACTGGACCAATAAATAGCATCATGATAAAGAAGACTGAAGTTGTCAAAGACTTCACTTTACACGGATCTACCATCAATACTCATAAAAGCAGCAGTCAAGAAATCAACTGATGCCTTGCATTGGTCAAATCTGCTGCAAACAACCTCTTTAAAGTGTTCAAGAGCAAAGATGTCACTTTGAGGACTAAGGTGAGTCTGGCTCAAGCCATGGTATTTTCAACTGCCCCCTATGCACGTGAAAGCTAGTCAGCAAACAAGACTGAAAAATTGATGCGTTTGAACGATGGTGTTGGCAACGAATATCGAATACACCATGGACTGCCAGAGGAACAAACAAACCTGTCTTGGAAGAAGTACAACCAGAATTATCCTTAGAAGTGAGACTGGTGAGATGTTGTCTCACGTACTTTAGACATGTGTTCAGGAGGAACTAGTGCCTGCAGAAGGACAACATGCTTTGTAAAGTGAAGGGCTAAGTGGAAAAGAGTAAGACCCCCAAGGAGATAGACTGACACAGTGACCTGTAACAATGTGTTCAAACAAAGCGATGATTGTGGAGATGGTGCAGGACTGGGCAGTGTTTCGTGATGAGTCAGAACTGACTCCACAACACCTGAGAACAAGTACATGTGTTTTTAGTTTCAAGATTGTTCCATTTCTAGAATGTCTAATGATAAACAGTTTTTTCAGATGAAGATGAAACCACACACCCTGCCCCAAAATAACAATTTACCGAAAGCTTCAAGTTGCAAAGGAGAAGAATCACTTAGAATGTCAAATGATTTAAGAGGCAAGTTTCCAATTTAAGATCAAGACTAACAAATAGGGCAGAGGTTAAGCAGGGTGTAGAATCATATCCAAGGGCACAGACAAGATGCTTAGCAAACTAAGAAACAGAGAACAGACTACTGGACCTGACAGCCAAATACGTTTGCTTATTTTTCTGCCAAGAAATATTATGTTCACATTAATAGGTGCCAGTGACTACAACATGTTATAAAAATTATAACTCTCTTTTTATTAGAGTCCTGGTGTGGTGCTGTAGGATACACTGAACTGCTAACCAGAAGATTGGCAGATCAAACCCACCAGTTGCTCCTCGGAAACCAGA